AGAGTTCAATCCCTGGCACCCTATATGGTCCCCTAGGCACTGCCAGGAGTGATCCCTGAGCACAGAGCAAGGAGTAAGCCCTGCCCACTGCCTACTGTGGCCCCCAAACCAAAATAAATGACTAAAAATTATCGAAACAATAAAAACAAATAAAATGTAAGGTTCATCCGGGAGAGAAGAGTCCTCCTGCTCCCATTCTATCCACCTTATCCAGTGCTGTATCTTGCCGTCACAGAGAAGTTTGGGGGTGAATAGTACATAAAAGGTACTGAATTATGGGAGGAGGGAGTGGGGGTTCCTCATTATGACCACACTTACTACTCTGGTTCCCTGCTGAACCAGCAGCTGTAAAGAGAAAACAGCAGCATTAGAGCGGAGATGATAGTTTATTTCTTCTAGTACCTTTTAAAAATTAGACGTTATTCACTTAATACTCCACTAAATCCTGTTCTGAACTTGGAAATGGCTTTACATAGACTTTGACCTTATAAAAGCCTGAACCCCCCACCAAGAAAAATGCCAAGGTTGGGGGCTGAGGAGATGCTCAAAGGGCAGAACACACACTTTGCATGCAGGAGCCCGAGTTAAGGTTAACCTGGCACCACAGGGTCTCCCCAGCACTGTCAAGGGTGACCCAAATCCAAAAAAATGGATTGTTTCAAAATGTCAAATGCATTCTAACAGTCAGCAATAAGCACAGAATTCTGAAATCTGTGAGAGCACAAAGAAAACAATGATGCAAAGAACCGATTTTCAACTCTTACTGACAATAAATGCCTCTCTTAACAGCATTGTTTCAGAAAGTCCCGAGTTGTTATTCATTCAAATAAAGATGGGCATAATTCAATTTCTGTGTGAAAGTCCCCAACACATGACCCCCAGAATTCTCTTCTATACTTACACTAAATCAGCTCATTTTTGTTTCGTTTTGGGTTCACACCCAGCAGCACTCGGGGCTTCCTCCTGGCTCTGTGCTCAAGGATTACCGCCTGCTATGGCTTGGGGGACCAATGGGTGGCTGGGGACCAAAACATGGTTGGCCACATGCAAGGTAAGCATACAGCACACTGAACTATCTCTCCAGCCCCCTAAAGCAGCTATTTAAAAATAATAATAATAATAATGGGCTGGAGTGATAGCACAGCGGTAGGGCATTTGCCTTGCACGCAGCCAACAAGGCTGACCCGAGTTCAATTCCTCTGCCCCTCTCGGAGAGCCCGGCAAGCTACCGAGAGTATCTTGCCCACACGGCAGAGCCTGGCAAGCTACCCATGATATATTCGATATGCCAAACACAGTAACAACAAAGTCTCCAATGGAGATGTTACTGGGTCTGCTCGAGCAAATCGATGAACAAAGGGAGGACAGTGACAGTAAATAATAATAATAATAACTGGTGGTACAGGAACAGAGTTATGAATTTACCGAGTGAAAATAGCACAGCTAGCATGATATAAATTCAGGACTTAGGCCGGAGAAATAGTACAGCAGGCATGTCACTTGCTTTGCATGGGGCCAAGCTGGGTTCTATCTCTGGCATCCCATATGGTCCCCTGAGCACCTCCAGGACTGATTCTTGAGCACAAGAGTCCGAGCACCACAAGGTGTGGTCACCACCCACCAAACACTCCAAAAAATTATCTTTTAAAAAATATTTTCACGGGGCTGGAGTGATAGCACAGCTGGTAGGGCATTTGCCTTGCACACAGCTGACTCGGGTTTGATTCCCAGCATCCCATATGGTCCCCCGAGCACCACCAGGAGTAATTCCTGAGTGCTGAGCCAGGAGTAACCCCTGTGCAAAGCTGGGTGTGACCTAAAAGGCAAAAAAATATGTATTTCCCAAGTATTTTACAATTATTTATTGAGTTTTCAAAATCCTTGTCGTGGTAGGATTGTGATCTAGAGAAGTCCATGTAAACCCCAGTAAAGCAATTAAAAAACCCACTATAATCCTAACAGTTAAAACAACAAAAAAGGACTGGAGCAACAGAACAGCAAACAAGGCATTTGCCTTGCACACAGCCAACCCGGAATCAATTCCCGGCATTCTGTATGGTCCCCAGAGCCTGCCAGAAGTGATCCCTGAGCGCCAGGAGTAAGCCCTGAGCACAGCTGTGTGTCAGGTGTGGCACAAAACCACTCCACCCGCCCCCAAGCGCACAAAATAAAACCACCCAGAGGCTTTTGAAGCTCCCTGCTTCGCATTGAACCAACAGCTGTCAGCTTTGGTGCTGAGACAGCTTCTGATTTCATCCTGTTACCTTTGAGAACTCTGACCTGAGGTCCATTACTAACTTGTACTTCTCCAAATCCTGCGCAGAACTTGGAAGTGGAGGGAATCAATCCTGGAACTCACCCAAGACGATGAAACCTAATTAGTGCCAATCGATAATACAGCAAAGCAGCCGAGGAGCTGCAGGTTCCTTGCATGTGCTTCTTTCACCTGCTTATTTTCTGAAATGAGCAAGCACTAGCTTTGGTTAAAAAAAAACCACACATATACACACAAAATTGTCACTTAAAAAATTCATAACCCACAAACTAACAAGCAGGCCACCTTTGAATTTGTTTTTGAGCCTGGGGTGGTGGTGTGTGGATGCCATGGGCAGTGAACACCTGATTATCAGCTGCTCTGGGCAGATGGCTTCTAGTCACTGATAAGGCCCTTTTCCTTGCCAACAATCCTGTCAGGGTTGCTGGGCCCTCACCAAGTGCTCCTCAGCAGTTCCCAGTTTCCAGCTGGGTTTAAGCAAAGCCTGCACCGGGGAGGCCTCAGACGACACCAAAAAAACACCCTAAACCCCGATAACAACTAGGAGCAGGAGCTCACAAATATTTGATGGGGGTCACCACTTTGGCTTATGTCAACTAGAGCTCTTGGTAGTTGCTGTGCTAGAAATGAAAGCTCTGAAGCGAGTATAACTCAGTAGTGAGGCCTGGGGGTGGGGGATGTGTCACCAGATTATGTAGCCTCTGGCAAACACCAAGGCAAAGCAGTGGTGGATGGGAGAGAAGAAAAATCAACTTGTCTGTATTATTCTGAAAACTATGTGGATCTGGGGGCTGGAGAGAGTACAATGGGTAGGGCATTGGCCTTGCGTGGGTTTCAATCCCCAACACTCCATGTGGTACCCTGAGCACCTCCAGAAGTGATTCCCTAAACACAGAGGTAGGAGTAAGCCCTGAGCACTGCCAGGTGTGGTCCCCTCAAAAACAAAATGGTTGGATATGACAGATTCCAGTCCCACAGCTAAAATGAAACTAGATCCTACAGAATCACTATGTTAGATCAAGAACCTTTCCTGCTACATCTGTCTGGAAGATTTCTCCATGTGGGTATTAGTTGGCCATGTTGAGGTGGAGAATTCCTTCTGTGAGAGGGCTAACTAGTAAGGGTAGGATATTTTAAAATATCCTACCACTGGACACCTAAGGAACCCTCAATTTTGACAACCAAAATAATGCCTTCCCAAGAGCACCAAGGGTCCCAGAGTTGAGAATCCACCTTTCGTCTGGTGATTTTCATCTGAAATGAAAATTGTCAACTGTGTACCTCTCACAACCCATCCAGGGCCCCTAACAGATTCAGTTTCTCCCTTGCTGGGTCTGTGCCTGCCTTCTTTAATTAATCCTCTTATTAAGCTAAACAACAAGAGTCAGTGGGGAGCAACAAACACAGGAAGAATCAGGTCAGCAAGAGGCCTTCTGGGCAAAGTTCACCTTCCTGGCCTTCAAGCTGTCAGGAGGGCTTCTGTGGCTTAGCTCAGCGGTTACTTCAGACTATCAGCAAGCAAAAAAAGCCTAATCATAAAACCATCAGGGGACTCATTGCTTCTGGGGAGGTGCTAGGGTGGAACAGCACAATCGGGCAACATCCATCCAGTCATTTTTGTTTGGGATTTTGTTTATTTATTTTGGCGGGGTGAGAAGGGTTGCTCCCTGTAGAACTGGGATATTCAGTCTGTGGAGAGGTGGAAATGGGGCTCCTGAGTTGGGACCCATCCCTTAGCCCCCCTCAATCATTCGAATCCCTCGAGTATTAACGACACCCCCTCAAAAAAAAAAAACTGGCCAGCTGCTTGACAGAAAAGTAGAAGCTTCTGAGGTCTATTGGGCATCACCCTCCCACCCCCAAAACCTCACACCGGGAACACTCCCAACTGTTTGGGTTTTGGTTTTTTATGCCATTTTTTTCCCATCAGGAGCTGGAGAGGCAACGAAAAACTGATGGAAAACGGTACCTCAGCCCCCACCTCTCCACCAGATCGTCACTCCGGGCGCGGCCAAAGTTCCCACTCGACCCTTTACTCTCCGGAGGTGGCCGGAGGTTGAAGCCAAGCTTCCTCGCCCGCAATTGGCCAGACCCCCTCCAGGTCCCTTGGCCCTGGAAACTTCCCACGCGGTCCCCTTTCTCCGCTCCGGTTCCCCCCCCCCCGGCCTTCCAACTGTCCCCCCCGCCCGGGCGCCCCCCATGGGGCCCCATCCACGGTCCCGGACCCGGCACCTGCCCTCCCCGATCCTACCCACGTCCCTCTCGTCCCCCTCTGCCACCATCTTCCGGCCACTCTCCCCTCCGCTCGGGAAGGACTCTGCCAAGCGTCCCCGCCACCCCCGAATGCGATCGCGCCGCCCTCCCACGCTGAATCCCGGCCCAAGTTCTTCCCCTCCAGCCGCCTCTGCTCCACTTCTCGTTGCTCCGGGCCGCCTCCCTCGGCGTTCTACCCCCCCCCCACGACCACCCCCTCCGGCCCGGCCCGCGCGCCTCTCACGGGCCCTTCCTCCCCGCCAGCCCCGGGATCGGGCCTTCTCGAGGTCACGGCTCGCCTCCCCGGCCCCGGCGCCTCCGCCCAGTGTCAACCCTACGGCTCCGCTCCCCCGCCCCCCTCCACCCGCCCGCCCGCCCCACTCGGGACCCATCTTTCAGGTCGGAGCCTTTGAACTGGGCGCCCCAGGGCCCCGGGCTGGAAAGACGAGGCACGAGGGCCCGGGCTACTCACCCAGAACCAGGTAGCACAGAGCGAGTACCAAGCCCGGAGCCCCGGAGAGGCGGAAGCACTCCATGATCCCGCAGAGCAGCCGGAGGCGGCGGCGGTGGCGGCGGCGGCGGCGGCGGCGGAGGAGGAGGAGGCAGCGGCGGAGGAGGAGGCGGCGGCGGCGGCGGTGGCGGAGGAGGAGGAGGAGGAGGCGGAGGAGGTTGAGGCGGCGGCCGCGGCGACGACGAGAACAGCCAAGAGCCGGGGAGAAGCTCGCTCACACTGAAGGAGACAACCCCCGACGGGCGACCACAACGCTGTAAAAGCCAGGAATTGCCTTTTCAGCGCGGGTCATGAGACTGGGGGCGGGGCTCCTTGCCGCCTGCAGCCAATGGGCGCGGCGGAAAGCTGCGAGAGGGGTGGTGAGGTAGGGGCTGTGGGCGGGGCCAACCACGCCCTGGCTTTTTGGTTCATGCCGTCTTCCTCATCGCCGAGCACTGCGCGGGCGGCGCGTTTTAGGGAGCCGGGGAACCCAAGAAGTTTGCGGGGGCTGGGCGGGGGGTGTAGTTGATGTGGCCGTCGGGGAATGGGTCGTAGGGTAAATCTGTTTTTTTCCGAATGGTTGAAAAAGAGAATGATACGTATGGAGTGGATACGGTTGCTAGGCATCTCTACCTAATAGACGCAAGAAAAGCCGTAATTAGTCTGCAAGCCCTGTTGCCACCTGTGCTGTTCACCGTGTTCAAATGGACAGAACGGGTAGCAAAGATTCGCTGACCGCGACACCAGGATGTGGGCTGGAAAGTTCGCCTAGTTACGACACCCTTTTTCAGCTGGGGAAACTGAACTCGGAAAGGGGAAGTTACATTGTTTAAAGATATAAACAAAAAAGAGAAATTAAAGAACAGGATAAATAGGGGGGGGGCAGGAACCAAAAACCGGGACTGGAAGGATAGTACAGCCGGTAGGGAGCTTGTCTTGCAGGAAGCCGACCCGGATTCAGTCTCTGGCACCATATGTGAGCGTTCCAGGAGTGATCCCTGAGCACAGAACTAGGAGTAAGCCCTGAACACAGCCGATCTACCCCTCCACACGTCCTCTGTTGTTCATCAATTTGCTCGAGCGGGCCCAGTAACGTCTCCATTGTGACAGTTGTTACTGTGTTTAGCATAAAGTCCCGGGTAGCTTGCCAGGCTCTCCAGAGGAATGGAACTCGGGTTGGCCATGTTCGCGGCTTGCAAGGCAAACGCCTTACTCGCTGTGCTATCGCTCCAGCCCCCCCACCCCACACACACACCAAAAGAATTCGAAGATCTTCTCCAGGGGCTGGGGCTATAGCACAGAGGATAGGGCGTTTGCAAGCAGCCAACATGGCCAACCCGAGTTCGATTCCTCTCGGAGAGCCTGGCGAGCTACCCATGACATTCTGTTAAACACAGTAATAGTTGTCACAATGGAGACGTTACTGGGCCTGCTCGAGCAAATTGATGAGCAACGGGAGGACATGTGGAGGGGTAGATCGGCAGCTGACCCGGGTTCGATTCCCAGCATCCCATATGGTCCTCTGAGCACCGCCAGGAGTAATTCCTGAGTGCATGAGCCAGGAGTAACCCCTGTAAATCACCGGGTATGACCCAAAAAGCAATAATTAAATAAATAAAAAGATATTCTCTAGCTCTAGCTCTCCTACTCAGGGACCCCATTAATGGCTTTCCTCCAGTTTGCCCCATGCATCCATGCGTAACCGTTCTTTCATAAGTTTATATTAAACATTCTATTTGGTAACAACACATGAAAGCATGCAAGCATAATCAAAGTATTTTTTCAAGTACTTCCCCAAACGTTTTTGGTCCTTTCCCAAACTCTACATCCGAAAATGAAAAAGTGCAACTTCATAAAACTCCGATTCGCAAACATCAGTTCTCATAGAGGGTGGTCCACAAAAGACCTTCCAAAACTTACATTTTTCCGTCTGCTCATTCCCCTGGTATTCTGAAGCAGGTGGCGGTTCTCAGTCCTCAAGTCAGTGAAGCAGACCTCAAGGTGATCTGGGAGGTCTTCCGTCACAAAAGTGGGCAAAATGGAGTAACCGTGAGAGAGTACCGGGAAAACAAGAGAACCCATCCACTGCTGCAGTTCTGCCCAGTTGGAAGGTTTCAGGCTTAGCTGCCCCAGACCCTGTCAGATGACTGGCCTTGGAGGGGGCTGATATCTGTTCTAGTTCAGCAAGCAGCTAAACTGCCCTCGGACCCCACTGGTATTCCTGTGACGGGTCCAGAATCAGATAATGAGAACATTATGATCCTAAAGCCTGATGCTATGAAACTGGCAGGGTACACTGCGGTCTGCGGCCCTTTCATCATTTCTCCAGCAGCCTGTCTTAAGAGTTCCATCCAACCTATCACAGCTACACACTCAGGTTAGACAAATTAGGTCATTTGTGTACTGGTCTTGGGACACTTTGACTTTTCTTTTTTCTTTTTTCCTTATGTCTGCTTTAGTTTCTTTCAGAAGTACACAGCTGGCGCTGTGCTGAGAGTCACTCCATACTCAGGGGGCCATGCAATGCCAGGGATGGAACCTGGGCCTCCCACATACAAAGCATGGATTTAGCCCATACAGCCATCTCTTGGGCTATTTTTTGTTTTGTATTTACTTTCTGTGACATTCTGTCAATGAAATTCCCAACATATTAGTATGAAAGGGCCTTGTCTGGAAGCAGTGGGGCCAAGACACTCTGTATAGAGGCCTTTATGATCAAGAAGTCTTGTGGAGGGAAGAAAATAGCAGATAAACCCAAATGATTCTGATGCCTCTGGTGCAGGGACCAGACACACATAAAGAAAGGATGAAGCAGTGCTTCAAAATCACTTTAGTCTGAAGTCAACAAATGGACTTTCAAGTGGGGGGAGAGATTTGTAACTGTGAATTCCCCTGAACAATGTGCAACATTTCAGTGGAGGGGGGGGTTGTTTGTTTGGGGGGTTGGTTTTTTTGGGTTTTTTTAATGTTTGGTTTTTTGTTTTAGGTTTTTGTTTTTTGGGCCACACCTGGTGGTGCTCAGACCTTGCTCCTGTCTTTACTTGGGCTCACGGATCATTCCTAGTAGGGTTTCAGGGACCATATCAGTGCTGGGGATGGAACCCGTGTCAGCCACATGCAAAGCAAGTGCCCTATATGCTGTACTGTTGCTCCTGCCTCAGTGTGGACTTCGTTGGTACAGAGAGGGACCTGAGCATTGCGATTTTCTCAAAATTTCCCAAAGCGGCAAGACTGGGTTAGAGATGATATTATATTTCCTGGTTGGTTTTTATTGTTGTTGTTGCTGTTTTTGGCCCGGGGCGGGAGTGGACTCAAACAACAATGCTTCTGGAGAGGAGATTATTCCTGGCTCAGGCTGAGGTGGGGGGGTGGGGGTGGGTTATGGATCAAACTTGGGGCTCCATGCAAGGCTTGCCTCCACCCTTTTAGCAATCTCCCCACCTGAATATGAAATCTCGGATTTCCAGCAGGATGCTGAGTGATTTTTTAGTTTTGGGGGAGCCACACCTGGTGATACTCTGGTTTCTCCTGGCTCTGTGCTCAGGAATTACTCCTGCTGGGCTTGGAGGACTGGATGGGATGCCAGGGATCGAACTCTGATCAGCCACGTGCAAGGCAAACAGACTCCCTAACTGCTGTCCTATCACTCCAGCCCTGAGTAATTTTTTTATGAAGAGGCGGCAGTAGGATAAATAAATTTGGAATAACTCTGTCCTATCCTTTTCTAGATAATGCCTCCAAGCTGTTATATGGTGCCTATGGTCGCAGCTTAAGCCCATGGAGAGGTTACCATGGGTTTAAGGCCAACTCCTACTAGAACTCTGGCTGAATGAAGATGTGCCATTTGCAGTTACTACTTTCCCCCAGCTGGTTGTTTTTCAACTCCTTCCTTCCTGCCCCCACCCTACCACCACACAAAATAAAAGCCCTGATCTAAATTGCTAAAAGGAACAGACTGTCAACTTGAGCCTGCATCACAAACACTGAGGGGAAATAGTAAAATACTAATTGCTGGGTCTAAGAAATAGCACAGCAGGGAAAGCACTTGTCTTGCACGTAGCTGAACTTTGTTTCCTCCCCGGCAAGCCAGAGGGTCTCCGAGCACTGCCAGGCTCTGTGCTAGAGCAACCTGAACACTGCCAGAAGTAAGCCCTAAACACTGCCAGGGATGGCGCCCCCCACCCCCCACACACACAAAAAAAAATCTGCAGGACTGGAGAGATGGTACAGCAGGAAGAGCACTTCCCTTGCAAACACCGGACCTGGGTTCAGTCCCCTGCACCCTATATGGTCCCTGGAGTCTACTAGGAGTGCTACTAGGAGTGATTCTGGAGCACAGAACCTAGAGTAAGTCCTGAGCACAGCCAGGTGTAGCCCCAACTCAAAAAATACTACAGATTGCTGGGGCTCACTCTAAAGTTACTGCAGGCCTTGGGTGAAGTATGCAACTCTGTGTTTCTAGCAACCCCCCCCCCCCCCCCCACAGGTCTTGATGCGATGCTTCTGTTCTGGAATGCATGCTCTGACCATGAGGTCTTAAATGCTGATCTTAAATGATCCCACCTCCCGGGAGATGGGTTTCGTTTACTTCTGCAGTGTTGCAATGTTCAAAGGCATTGGCTTGTCTGCAGAATGGTGTGTTTTGAAATTAATAAATGCAAGATTTTGTAAGAATCATATTGTTTTAGGAAGTCAGAGAGATAGTACAGTGGGTAGGGCGCTTGCTTTGCATATGACCAGCCTGGCTTTAATCCCCAGCACCCCATAAGATCCCCCAATCACCCTCCCCAGGAGTGAAGCCTGAGAACAGAGCCAGGAGTAAGTCTTGAGCAACTGGTTGTGGACTCTAAACCAAAATAATTAATATTAGTTGTTATCATTATTATCATTGTTACCAGACTGTTTTAAAAGTAGAAAAGCCAAAATATTTTCTTTCCCCGCCCCTGGACCCCAGTGCCATGATGAAAGGAAAGACTGCTTAACAACCTTATTTTTAATATTTTCAGGGAAAAAAGTGTGCATTTCAAGTATTCTTTTCTGTGGTTTGAGGGGCACACCTGGTGATGCTCAGGGGTCACTCCCAGAGTTATTCAGCTAATTTGTTCTGCCCGGAATGGAACCCAGGCCTCCTGCATGCTAAA